CCCCTCCCATCCCACCGCTCCCCCCGTCCCCCCCAAATCTGAGCAAATACTGCCCCCGGTAGAGTAAAGCTTTGAATGTTTTCACACCCCATTAATTTATTACTTCTCTTTCCTCATCTTTATTTTTTTTTTCCTGGTTGTGGTTTGGTTCGGGGTTTGTTTTGGTTTGGTTATTTTTTTTCCCCTTTTTTTTTTTTTTTTTTTAAAAAACTCAGACTCCCCGCTGCTACAGCGATTTTCATCTTGTTGTTAATTTTCCCGGCTCCATATGGAGCTCCAGACATTTCACCTGCAGGCTGTACTAGATTTTGCTGTAGCGATCGCACTTCCGGAGGCCAAAACTGTCATTTCGGGTTCCTGCTGCATCTGTCTACGCCAGGCGTTTCCACTGGCACCGCGCAGAGTGTGAATAACAAATGGGATGCACCTGAGATGCGGATGATTAGTGCGTTGCGCCAAGCCGGGGCGACTTGTAAGCGGCTCGCCCGAGGGGTGGGGAGGGCTAAGCAGCCGCCCCGGGGGAGTTGGGTGCTCGCACCCTCAGCTCGGTCGGGGCGCCCGGGCGAGGATCCCGTCGCGGAAACCCCGGCGAAATATTTCATTCCTGCCTTGTCATTGATTAGAAAAGAGCCTTTTAATTTCATTTCACCCCATGTTGTGATTAATTTGCATTCTTTGTCAGAAGTTAATGGAGTTTTTTATGGTTCGCGCTGAAATCCTTGAAGACATCGGAGTTGATCTGATGTTTATACAACCGCCAGCGGAATTTTTTTGTTTGATTGATGGAGAGCTTGATGTTATTCCAAACGGCTTTTTAAGCTGTTTTTAAGAATTATTTGAATGAAATGCAAGCAAGATATTGTTATAACGATCAAGATTATCTGTTAAAGATCTGTTTCAAATAAAGAACACGATAAGTAGGAAAAAAAAAGAAGATCAAAAAGGCAGAAGAAATGATGAATATGGGAGGTGATATTTGGTAAAACAAATATATATGAGATGATATTTGGTAAAACAAATAAGTATGAGATGATATTTGGTAAAACAAATAAATATGAGATGATATTTGGTAAAACAAATAATCCAAGGATTCAAATCAGTTATTTCAAAATGTAGTGAAAGTAAGAGAGACCTTAATTTAAAGGTCTTTTTTAATATAGAGAGTTTCTTTTTGCAGCGCTATAAACAATGGGAATTTATCAGCAAAGAATTAAGCTATAATTAGATTTCCCCCTTCGTTTTGGTTTGGGGTTTTTTTTTTGTGATCCTGTCCATTTTTTCACCATAATTTTTGGCCTCGATGATCTTAAAGGTCTTTTCCAACCTGCACGATTCTGTGATCCTGTTTTACCAGCAAATGCGAGCACGGAGCACTGGTGTCTCTAACTGGGAGAGACAAGGCTGCCAGGCCTGTTAGTCCAACCAAACGATGACATATTGCTCCTCTCGAGGAAGAGACGTTCTTAAATCCCACTGCAAAGAAAACATAAGTGGATAATAGGAAATTTTATAGCCCTGGAAAGCACTCGCTGTAGACTTTGCCATTGGTTTGCT